GAGATTCCTCAGCAAACTAAACGTAGATCTACCATCTGATCCAGCAATCCCACTACTGGGCTTTTACCCAAAGGAAAAGGAGACTTCATCAAAAAGACACCTGCAGGCAAATGTTTGTTGTAGCACATTTCACAACTGCAAAGATGTGGAGTCAGTGGAAGTGCTCATACCTTCATGAGTGAATTATCAAAACGTACTCTGCATGTAATCCATGGGTTCTGAACTAGATATTTTCTGTAGGTTTTTCCGTAAGTAGAATTTGTATGTAAGTTGGGACATGTACATTTACCTTTTTTCCTGTAAAAGCCTCCATTCATAAGTGTGAGTTGTATGCAAGAGGGGTGTTGTAACTTGGGGATTGCTTGTATGTATACTATGGAATTCCACTCAGCCCTGAAACAGGATGAATTAAGGCATTTTGCAACAATTTGGATGGGACTGGAAAGCAATATCCTAAGTGAACTATCTAAGGTTAATGGAAACGCAAATACTACATGTACTCACTATCAAATTGGAATTAATTTTGAGCACACACATATTCAGAGGGAAGCAAAACTCAGTGGAAATAAAACAGGGGGAATGAGGGAGGCAGGGATGGTGAAACCCTACCTAATGGGTATAATGGACACTCTGTGGGTGATGGAAACACTTATAGTTATGACCCAAATATAACAAAATTGATGCCTGTAACTAAAAACAGTTTTTCTTCCATAATGTTGTGAAATAAGTTAATGTTTTGGAGATTAGGGAGCTTCCATGCCCAAGGATATCCCACAAGCACTAATGGCATTGTGGGCACTTGCATGTCCCACTACGATTTGGTAACTGGAAGGCCTGTGTATTTATGGACTTCACTTCAGACATTATCCTCTGGGATATTACATGTCAATGTGAGAGATATTGGAGGGATTGTGTAGTATACTCAGTCCTATCACCAGAAGCTTACGGCTGTCTCTTCACCTCATCTTCATAATTATCCTCTTTATGATCTTCAGTCAGGAGATTGTGTCTGCGTCCTTCAAAAAGAAAACTTATCGTTCATGACCAGGTGAGAAAAGAGGTGATTATATTCTGCTTTAAGCATCACCACTTGGTGTGTTAAATGGGGAAAGAATGAGAGCATCTCATGGCAGATGACAGCAAACTTAATGTTGTGCTTCCACATGAGGTCTCCACCCCATCTTCTTGGTATTACCGATGCCCTTCAATCACAACTGGTATGTGATTTTCTCTTACACATGTGTTCATTATATTCTGAGAGGGGCACATTTAAATAGGCTCCCAGGCACAGTTAGCAAATTTATTTTAAAATGAACCAATAAGTTTCAGTAAAAATAAAAAAAATTGTATTACTTGAAATATAAGCTATTGCATTGAGTGAACAAACTAAGAAAATGAGCATGTTGTTAACTCTAGAAAATGAATAGTCAAGGCTGCGACATCATGGAGAGAGAATTATCTGCTGCCTCGAGTTACCCTTGTGATGGTCACACTTTCCCATGATAAAGAAGAGCAGTCACACTGTCCACATCACTGCTCTGTGCAGGACAGCTGTACTGCTGCCACACACAGCTCGTCCAACAGGTCCTGCTGGTGGCAGCTGCTCCACTCTGTGGCTGTCTCCACCTCTACCCCAACTGTAGTAATGGCTCCTTCACAGAGCAGCCACTTTCAAACCTTCATGTGAGACCTTCAGGCTGATTTCTGTTCTGCTCACTTTACTCCAGACTCTGTCAACATCAGGTCTTTGCATAAGATGAGATATTTTTTGGACAGACCCTGGTGCACCTGCTCAAGCCCTTGCAGACTGAGCCAAAAGAGTCACCAAATCCTACTCTATCGAGGAGGACAACTGCCTTCTTTGTCATAAGGTCCACGCTCCTCCCCACGTGCTGAGTGCTCATCCTCCTGTGGTCACTGCAGGGGTCCCCACAGCTTCCTGCACCAGGATATGTGCTCACAAATAGTTGAGCTGGGCAGAATTCATGGGCAGTACATAAACAAAACCTGTTATTATTCTGTCAGAATATTGAACAAAAGGTCATGGAAACAGCTAAAACAAACAATTAACTCTTAGAGCAACAGTGGTCACGTTTGCCCTGATGGCCCTGTCCATTCCTCCTCACTCCACAAATCACAACATGTGTTACCCCTTTACTGTCTGGTTCTGGGCATCTCAGAGCCAGGGCCATGGAGGACAGCAGAGCCTCTCACACAGTTCACAGTTCCCTACTTGAAATGAGCACACAGCCGTGTCTCCAGGTAAACAAGGAAGTTACACAGGAATGGAAATCTTTGTCAGATGAATGGTGTACCTCATTTTCCACAGGGATCCCCCATGATGGAACTCTAAGTTTTGGAAGAAATCCTTTGAGAATCCCACGTGGTTTAGACATAAATCCATGTTCAACAGGTAAAACTGTCTTTGTCAAGGATGAGTGTGAAAGTAAAATCAGGAATTACTTTGTTCTTCACAGGAAGCAGGGAGAATACAGGAGAGGGTAGTCAGGAGGAGCAGAGGGGGGAGGGAAGGAAGATCAGGACAAACGACCATCTGGGGCAGGCACTTTGTCAGAAGGGCACTTCGTCAGAAGGGACTCAACTGCAGGTGTGGAGTCATCACAGGACACTACTCTCAAGGCCTTGGATGGCATCCAGACCTCATACCTCACTGAGGTTTGTCTGTAGGTCACCCGATGTCACAGATGGTGCCAGTGACTCTGAGAGTCTGATGGGACACATCCCACTTTGACAAGATAATCTTGTTCTCTCAGCTAATGACAGCCACTTTCATTTCCAAAGTGAGTCCATGCCAAAGTGACAGCAGGAGGGTCCCAGCAATGGAGGGTGAGAAAGTCCCATGAGCCCGTCCCTGGACCCCCAGAAGCCACAGCCTGCACCACACCTGATGTGCAGGCACAGGGCCTGAGCTCCAAGGTTTAAATCACAGAGACCAGAGCCCCCATTTTCAGAAGGAAGAAGGAGAAGAGGTCAGGCTTATTGTCCCCTGCTGTAGGTGGCCCTGCGGTCACACTTGCCCTTCACTAGTGTCCCCTCCTCCTGGATTCTACTGACAGCCGACCAGCACTTCACAGTGAGGCTTTCTCTGTGTTGCTCCCTGGAGAGTGACTCAGACCTGAGCAGTGTGGGCTATTGTCCCTGGTCACTTGGCCTCCTCAGACGTGTGGTTATTGCAAATGTCCTCTCCCTTGTTAGATTAAGTGGAACAAAGCTCAGGCCTGAGAGACTGTCCTGACTCAGTCTCAAAAGGAGACTTAATGTCCACCAGTGGAGGGGACCTTTCCTTTGTTGACATGAGGAGCCCAATTGGGGGGATTGGATAAGGCCTCAGGTGTGAGGGAACACATTGTGCCCTAGTGGAGTGATCCTCCAGGACCAGAATAGTTTTTGTTTGTGGTTGTCCTTATTGTTTGGTAGGCCCTGGATGGATTAGAACCCACCAGCTTTGTTGTATGTGGCTGGCACCCTACCCACTGAGCTATAGTCAGGAACCAGGACTTCTAATCAATCACAGCCTCAGATTCTGGCAGTAAGAAGACACATTTCTCAAGTTGTCACCACGGATGTGGAGATAGGAACTAATCTCACTTCTCCCCAGATTTCCAGACCCAGGTGCTCCAGCACTCTATAGTGCCTGCTGTCCTGGGCCACATGCAGTGTCTTTCATGACCAAGGAATCCCTGTATGGCCCCAGTTTAGGGACTCTGTTGTCTCCTAGAAGACATTGTGACAAATGTGTGGGTCAGACTCACTCAGAACTATGCACAGAGACTTGAATCAGCCTCTCACTGTTTTCATCTGCTGCTGAGATAATTTTGAAAGACATGGGAGGACTGCACCCTGTTCTCTGATCCCCATGAAGACACCTTCTGTCCTTCCACAACAAGCAGATTCCTGGTCTCACCCACACCCTGCCTGGGCTCCTGTCAGAGGTGCAGACATGAGATCCTGGGCAGTGCTCTGACAGAAGCCCTGTGACAGGAAAAGCAAACTCACATTAGAACACTGCTCACTTCTGGTTTGGACAAATTCCTGCCTCTCCAGAGTGGCGGTGGTCTGAAGTAATCAACTTCCCACCATGGGGACAGCAGGTGTCCCTGCAGGATGAGGGTTTGTTCAGAAATTGGTGTGACATGTGCTCAGCTCAGCCACTTAGCAGGAGCTGCTTCTTCATGAGATGCTGTAAAATGTCCAAATCCCTCGAGAGTTTTCCCATGAGTGGGAGCCCCCACCTGCTGAACTGTGAGCTGCTGTGAAAACCTTGGGCCAGGCCCCCTTTGTGCTCTGTGAAGCAATTCTGTGCTTCTGGGCACATCTGCCCTATGCTCATTGGACACCTCAATCTGGAGGTATAAACATTTCCATCCTCATTTAGGGCATGTGGAAGCCTGAAATTCAACATCTGTAACAAACACTAACAGGGAGCCTCACGTCTTTTCAGGGTGTCAGTGAGAGCTGGGGCTGTGAGCTTGGTGCCTGGACACTGAGCATCCTGTGTCTGTCTCCTCTGGCTCTGGAGTGCTGACTACTACCGCCCATGAGGTCCTGCAGGTACTTTATCCTTCTTGCTGGTTACAAGGAATGTTCAGTTCTGTGTGCTGTGCTGCGCTGTTGAGTCCTGCAGAGCATCTATATAGATTTGACTGAATTATGCAGAAATGTTGATAATTAACTGATGTTTATGGACATGAGTAACTGTAGATGAATATCTGCCTTTTGTGAAATTACAGTGTTATACTAATTCACAAAGTTCCCAATTCAGAGACTTCACAAATAAGCACAGAATCCAGAGAATCCCCAGAGGACACTGATTAACGGAGAGGAAGCCCCAGTCCTGAACAGACACCAGAGCTGAGCCCCGCCCAAGCACCTGCCCTGGGTGACTCCACGCCTGTGTCTCGGGCGCCCTCTGGCGGCCGCGCTCCGCTGGAGGTTCGTGTCTGGGCTCCCACTGAGGTCCCCTAGCTGTGTCCCTCGTGCAATAATACATGGCCCTGTCGTCCGCCTTTAGGCTGCTCCACCTCAGGGAAGCGGTGCTGATGGAGTTGTCGGCGGAGATGGTGACGCGGCCTTGGAAGGCTGGGCTGTACTCGGTATCAGAATCACCAGGATAGATGTTCCCAACCCACTCCAGGCCCTTCCCGGGCCTCTGGCGCACCCAGCTGATCCAGTAGCTTGTGAAGGTGTATCCAGATGCCTTGCAGGAGATCGTCAGAGACTCCCCGGGCCGTCTCACCTCTGCCCCTGACTGCACCAGCTGCACCTGGGCACCGACGCCTGTGTGGGACAAGGAGAACAGAGATCAGGGCCCCTCCTGCCCACTCCTCCTGTGACCCCAGATCTTGAGCCAGGACTGACCTGGGAGAACAGCCAGGAGGAGGGTGAGAAGGACGGCAGACCCCATCCTGGAGCACAGAAAGGGCTGCACTGAGGATCCAGCAGGCAGTAAGGAAAGCCCACACTCCTGGGAACTTAAAGGGGGTGTCCCTCACTTGAGTTTGCATATTAACACCCTGCCCCACAGCAGAGGCTGTCCCAGGGGTCTTACCCAGCAACACAAAGGCAGCTCTGGGGCTGATGTGCAACTCTGAGCAGATGAACGAGGGTCACAACAATCCCTCCCAGTTTCCCACACATTCTACTACAGGTACACACAGGACTCAGGTCAGGGCTCCTTCCTGGCCACCCAAGTCTGTGATCCTGTGGGGGAAGTTGTTGGAATATAACTGGAGTCACATGATAAAGAAAGAAAAAAAAAAAAAGAAAAAAACAGGAGTAGAGCCTGGGAGACTGTGAAGTTAGGATTTCATGCAGAGGTGCCTGCTCACAAGAACTGCCACTAGGACTCAGCCTCGCCACCTGCACTTTGCACATGTGTGTGAACATGGCCTGGGCACCCAGCTGGGGCAGGGGACCATTGCCACAGCCCTTCAG